TGACTTCCAGTGTCAGATACTAACGAAAAAAGCTGTCCTTTCACATCAGCATGATACACAGCTGATTGCCATTATAATTTGACAGGGCCCAGCGGTGCCAGGGGGAGACCTGGCAGGATGACAATGGAGGTCGGGGTTGGCTTCCTGTAAGACTGTAAAGCCAAACCCTGTTCTTTTATCATACACTGAACCACATGCATGTGTTAGCTAAACATAACCATGTGTGTTTGTTGTTGAAGAACAATAAACGTGAATTGGCTGTAATGTACCGATGTAGTGAGTTTATTTTTAGAGAGACTATGCAAGCTGTGCATTTCCTGTGAAAACAGGAAGTGTATTTTGAAAACAGACAATGCATGCAACAGTCAGAACTTGACACAGCGTCAACAACCAACACGCCCAGGGTACCTTTCATGTTGTATCTGGACGTGGAAAGCCCATGACCATATGCTGATATGTGACGAGGTCAGAGTGAGAATGTGTTGAATTTTTAGACTCTTAATTTTATGATTCACAGCCTTCTGTTTCATGAGATTTTTAAATATAATGTTAATATCTGTTTTTATGTTGTGATCTCAGATTTTTAAATTCATCTTCAAGCACATATGAATAAACAGAGTGTATCAGGTCTCACATTTGAGTAACCAGAAAGCCACTAAAGGTTGTATGGTAGTCGGTTCCCCAAACATGTGAGCCTTTATCCATGAGCACATACACCTGGTCTCCTAGCTGCAGCTGCATGAACACTGCGTTTCCTCCATTATCAGCTCCGTCAGCGTTTGTCTGGTGATCGTTTGTTGTGAGCATGTGTTGCTTGTTCTTAAAGAGCCACAGCCTTGAGTGGAGGAGTCCTTGAGCGTGGTAGAAGATGGTAAAGTAATAAACACCTGCCACAGGTGCAACGAAAACACCTGTGGACAACAACGTCACATCACAAATCATCAGTCTTCAGCACTTGATTTTATTCTACTGCTTTTCATCCAAATAAAATAAAAATGAGTCTGTTTTTCAAAGTGATTTGCAGGGTGTTTTTTCCGACGTCTAAGTTAGCAGACAGGAAGGTATCAAATAAACCTGCAGGTGACTGTGAGTGTAAAAGTTATGCTAACTATTCTAGGAAGTAACATTTATATGAATCACAAAACATTTTGAAACTTACCATTCAGTGACCACCTGAAAGGAATCATTTTCAGCTTCTGCTTCGTCCTCTGAATCATCAGAGGGCTCAAACATGTACGGCTGGATTAAATTTGTGGCAGCCATTGCTGAGCCAGGGAGATGTCAATCAAAACGAGGGAGCTGTCAATCAGAGTGTTATCTGCCATGCCCCCACTCTGTCCTGGCAAGTGGTCTAAACAGCAAAATGAGCTGTTTTTAAACCAGGTTATTTTCACTCAGACTTTTGTGGATGATTAATGAGACACTCGACTTTGATATAATATATGCATTTTTACTATTTCAAGCTGTGTTTCCAAAGGCTTTAAGACATAAAAGAAAGAGGGACTTGATATAAAGGAAATACAGAAGAATGTAAAGAAGCACACTTGAAAAGAGTAAAATTAAGTATCACTCCAATCATTCAAATCCATCCCCTGGCCACTTTCTTAAGCAAGATATTTGAGCTGTCTTGATAACACAAAGAAACGATCAATTCTGAATATATTCACAAAATAAAACAAGATCCAAATCTGTTAGTCTGTGTCTGTTTTCCTGACATGTCAATGTCAACAGACTTGTTGTGACATTCTCCAACAAGGAAACAGGAGTAAACATCAATGAACCTTTGCCTCATTTTATGGCTTGTTTTTGTTATTGTTCATTCATAATACCCTGGAACTGCATTTACTATCAGTAATAAGTTAATATCATGATAGCTGACACCAGTAATACATCAATTTACTGTAGATATTGCTCACATCAGCTTTTTTCTGGAGCAGGTATCATTGTTGAAATTAAAATGATCTTCATTATTTGGCCATAAAAGCCTAAAAATTTGAGTGCTCCACTCCTTATCAACCCTTTCTGTGTGATTTATTTATGATACAACATATCAGACTTTGTTGGTGATAGAACAATAAAGTCCTGGACTTATTTTCATTGTTGTCCCTGGTGTTCTCAAAGTCCACCATCCATTTATCAAAATGAGCAAAACGCACACCTCAACACTACTGATCACAATGCTCTTCTTGATAGTTGGGGGACGTGTGTAGGCCTTTCAGACACAGCTCTTAATTAGTTTTGATCACAGAGAAGTTTTGATAACACTTTACTTTAAGGTATGTACATAAGGGTGACATGACACTGTCATAACTATGACATGACACGGTCATGAACACTATGTACATGTCATAAACGTTTATGACTGCTGTCTTGATTATGACAAGTTGACATTAATCAAAGTGACATTACCAGAAGTTGTCTTTGTCATGACAAGTTGACATTAAATTTGTTTGACAATGACAACTTAAGGATAAATGACTGAGCTGGGTTCAACGAATCCAAAACAAGAACGTCCAGGCTTAATTGGTTGCACAAAGACCAAGCCAGGATGAGCAGACACGGATTCATCAAGCCAGGTGAAACCAATCCTGGATCAGTGGGCGCACGCAGCTTCCTCAAATAGACCCCGCCATCGATCACAGATTCACCGATTCACCACAGCAACAGTGGCGTACTTTTCCCCGTCGGAGGCAGAAATCCTCACGGAGGCTTACTTAGAGGTAAAAGATCAAATCAAAAAGAAAGGCAACACCGCCACAGTTATAAAACAAGGAGAGAAAGCGTGGCAAAGTATTGCAGACCGCCTGAATGCGTAAGTAGTGCACAAATACACGCTCACTGCTCCGCTGAAACCATCACAATTACAATCCAAATAGCTAAGTAACATCTCCGAAAACGTAGTTGTACTCTGATTATGAATCAGTTGAAAATGTAAGTGAAATTGACTGCAGATGTGAGTGAAATTGTGTAAATGTAACTCCATCAAACTGTGTAACTCTTTGATAAATAGATGAGCTCACTGACTTAATTGAATTTCCCTTTGGGATAAATAAAGTTCCTCTTATCTTATCTTACCTTATTTTTGCTCCTCATGCTCCTCTGCTGTTTCAATGTTCAGGTGAACATGACTTTTTGCTATTGTAGATTAATGAACACTGTGCATTGCTTGTGATGTGCACTGATTGGTTTAATAGTCTTTATCTTATAATTTCAGATGGTCTGCGATGCTGACTATGTGATCAGCAATGTTGTGGCAAAGTGGCCCGGCTCGGTCCATGACTCCCGGGTCTTTCGGACCTCTGGAATCTATCAGCGCCTATCACAAGGTGAGCCACACAACCTCTGTTAATAACCACTTTTTACATCATGGCTGTGTCAAGAATGTCACTCTATTTATGAGGTTGTGATGATGAGATTTTGTACTGACAGGTGAATTCTCTGGTGTGTTGCTGGGGGCCTTTTCTCCTCACACCATACATAGACCCTCAGGAAGCACAGCAGGCCTATAATCATGCCCATGCCAGGACAAGGGCCAGGATCGAAATGACCTTTGGCCTCCTGAAGGCACGCTTTCACTGTCTTCACCACTTAAGGGTCAGCCCTTTGAGGGCATGTGACATCACTGTGGCCTGTGCTGTCCTCCACAATGTGGCCTGCCTGAGGAAGGAGAGGGCCCCCAGAGTGCCATCACACATGGACTGGGACAATCCTGCCATCTTCCCTGATGACGACAGTGGTCGGCTGGTCAGGGACCAATATGTGTTAAATTATTTTAGTTAACATGCATGCTTTAAATTTCAGTTAAATATGTCCTGCACTGGCAGAGGAGTTTTTTTTTTATTCAATTTAAATTGATTTGGCCTCTTATGATGTTTGTGCTGTATACTGTGTGTATACAAGCTTGCAGGGAGGCTACTGCATCCATTCATTTGTCTGTTCATTTGTTGTGTATGGTTTTGTCCTGCATTTATTTCAGTGTGTATAATATGCTTTGATTCCGTGCTTTCGATCTTGTAGAGTCACTGTGTGACTTCAGTTTTGAAAGGAGCTCATGGTTTACTTGCTTTGATTTATCCTTATTCAATAAAGGAACATCATGTTACTCTTTGATGTGTATTTATATTTATATGGGATGTGTATTTTATATAGTCTGTGGAAAACTGTAAATAATCTAATGATTGCAAAATCATCTAAAATCATCATTTATCTAAAATGATTGCAATTAATGATCACAAATGTTTAAATAATGACAGTGGGTCTGGTTGAATGTGATAACAATGTGCAGTGGGCAGTGGAATAACTATTGGTTTCCGTTTGTGGTGACTGCTGACTGAGATAAGGGATGAGATTAAATAGATCCTGGAACTTAGCCTGGTCTGGAGCAGGCTAGCTCCACAGAATAAATCTCCATGGTAACTTATGTCATAACATATCCCGCTGTCCACTATCCCGCTTTTGTGCAACCGGATCACGGATAAGTTGAGCCAGGATAACCAAGATATCCCGACTTAATCCCTTATCCTAGTTTTGTGCAATAGGCCCCAGGATGACATTACCAGAAGATGTCTTTGTCATTACAACTTGACATTAACAAGAAATGCACCTCTCATAATAAGGACATCCCAAACAAATTTAATGTCAACTTGTCATGACAAAGACAACTTCTGGTAATGTCACTTTGATTAATGTCAAGTTGTCATAATCAAGACAACCCAAACAATGTCAACTTGTCATTACAAAAACCGAATGACACTTAATGACAGCAGTCATAAACATTTATGACATGTACATAATGTTCATGACAGTGTCATGTCACCCTTATGTGGATACCTTCAAATAAAGTGTTAGTGAAGTTTCTATCTCAGTGTCAGTTCACAGCGTTTTGCTCAAATCTGGGCCAACCACTATTCAGTCTAGATATGCTTCTACTGAAGTTCATCTTCCTCCGGCACAATATTTATTTTCAGTGTCTGGCAGAAAACAACAGACTTCACCCAAGGTCAAGATCAGAATTCAACTTTATTATCTCCATGGTAGCAATCAGCTATGTCATAAAAACATAAAACAACAAAAACATGGTGATCAAACTGACACAGTCCACACCAACAGAGACATAAGCAGACTAAACACCAGCAGTCTGTAAACACCTCCGACCAAACAATAATTTGGGGGCAGTAGTATCGTCTTTTCTTTCATGTTTTTCAACCAAACTGAGATATACACATATACAGAGATATACATAGATACAGAGATATACATTGATTCTCACATTTGAGTGACCAATAATCCACTGAAGGTTGTGTGGCTGGTTCCCCAAACATGTGAGTTTGCAGCCAAGACCACATACACATGGTCTCCTGGCTGCAGCTGCAGGAACGCTGCGTTTCCTCCATTATCAGCTGTGTCAGCTTCTGTTTGGTGATCACCGGTCATAATCATGAGTTGATTGTTCTTGTAGAGCAGCAACCCTGCCCATTCATGTCCTCCAGCATGAAAAAAGATGGTGAAGTAATAAACACCTGCAACAGGGGCAACAAAGATACCTGTGGAGACAACAGGGTGGTGGTCACATCATGAATCATTAGTAGTCATCAGCACTTTATTTTATTGCCTTCCAACCAAATAACCCAAAATTGAGTCTGTAATTTTTGTCCTCCTCAAATTGATTGTTTCAGTGTGTTCTTAAACATGTAGATCACATGACAGGAAGGCAGTATGTCTATTTTTTGTGATGTTTCAGCATAGCAGGTGGTACTTGATGCAGGTGACTGAGTATTACCTGTGTGTGGACTGTAGGCATCACCGATGTTTGTTATCACTGTTCTGTAGATTAAAGTTTTGTCTGTGTTGAACGGTCCAATTGCTTGACCTCCTCCTGTTGCTGCACTGAATATCACCTTGGTTCTTTCTGTGTAAAACAAAACATGCTGATCACGTTATTTTGTAAAGTATTTCCAGAGTCTCATGAAGAGACTTTTAGCGACCGTGTGAATGAAACTTGTCTGTGAGGAAACACGTTCTCTCCTGCTACTTCCATCTTTTGTTGTTTAGTTGGTAGGACTTGCTTTCTTCCTACTCAAGTTATTGTGTGTCATCCATCATTAAACACAGTTTCACTTTACCTTTGTTTCTCAGTTCTAGAAGCTGGTTTTCACTGTTCTTCAGCCTGCTTTCACTGTCCTTCAGCCTGGTTTCACTGTCCTTCAGCCTGGTTTCACTGTCCTTCAGCCTGGTTTCACTGTCCTTCAGCCTGGTTTCACTGTTTCTCAGCCTGGTTTCGCTGTCCTCCAGCCTGGTTTCCACAGCTGCAATCTTTTCTTTCATGGCACCGAATGCCATCAGGAGATCACACATGTCAGGCTGACATGTTCGTGTTTCATCAGGTTTTTCTGTGATGGCGTTACCATCATCCTGGGCCAAAATCAAGCTGCTGGACAGCAAAACAAACAATGAAATGGCGAAATCCATCTTCCAAGTTGATTCAAGATCGTTCAGTCAGCTAAACTCTGACTGATGTGATCCCTCTGGCTGCTTTTATGGTGTTCAAAGATGACCTGTTAATTTTTAACCTCCCATTTGATACATGGCTTTATCATGTTGTTTTTAAGATCAGTGGACGAGCAATGAGGAAATAAGATTAATTAATAAACTAATTTCATCAACAGTGAGGGTGGGGATCAGTGATTAAACACTTATTTGTGGCATTCCCTCTATCAAATGAAGCCACTAATGAGCTGTGCACACAGTAACATCAGTCTGATGTGAATGAAAGGAGACATAATCCAGTTTAAATGTTTACGAAAAAGTTTAAATTACACTGAGTCACACGCTCAACTATACTGCATGTCAATCAATGAATTAAAGGGAGAATCATTATCAACATACAATATACATGCACATTTGTCTTTGTACATTTTCACACATTACCTATGTTTTGTACAGTGTATGGAAATGAATGTTGCATGGTATTTAAATTACCTTCTGTTAACACTGTGTGACTCTACAACACCTTTAAACAACCTGACTATTCAAAGTGCTTTATTAAGACAGAAAAGAAAGAGGGACTCGATATAAAGGAAATATAGAAGAATGTAAAGAAGCACACATGAAAAGAGTAAAATTAAGTATCACTCTAATCATTCAAATCCATCCCCTGGCCACTTTCTTAAGCAAGATATTTGAGCTGTCTTGATAACACAAAGAAACGATCAATTCTGAATATTTTCACAAAATAAAACAAGATCCGAATCTGTTTGTCTGTGTCTGTTTTCCTGACGTGCCAATGTCAACAGACTTGTTTTGACATTCTCCAACAAGGAAACAGGAGTAAAAATCAGTGAACCTTTGCCTCATTTTATGGCTTGTTTTTTGTTATTGTTCGTTCATAATACCCTGCAACTGCATTTACTATCAGTAATAAGTTAATATCATGATAGCTGACACCAGTAATACATCAATTTACTGTAGATATTGCTCACATCAATATCAATTCTTTTGAAAAGTGCAGCTATCAGTGTTGAAATTATGTTTATCTTTGTTATTCAACCATAAAAGCATAAGAATAAAGACCTTCCGTCCTTATCAACCCTTTCTTTGTGATATATCCAGTGTGGATGGTGTTCCTCCGAAATAAGTAGGCCTGTTGTATTACACCAGATGTCTTCAACATATTTGACGCCAAAGACCTCTTAGCTGCAAAACAGATGGAGCAGGGACTTCCCTACTGAATATATATTGCATTAATTCGAGTTTTATATAAAACTGGGACTGTAATAATGTGTAGGGTGGCCGAAAGTGCCATGAATAAGCACTTATGGCCATGATGTTTCACAAGCATTTCACCCTCAACTAACTGGTTTGCCTTGTTAAATTAGGGACGAATGCAGCTTAGCATTAACTAAGCAGCCATTTAGCAGATGATTCAGGTGTACTGTTAATTAAATGTTTTTTTGTTTTGTTTGTTTTTTTGATTAAGCCATAAATTACAAAAAAAATAAATAAGAAATTAGGCAGTCCCCCTGCAGTAACTTTGACAACCCTTTAAGGGTTCCACACCCGCTGTTGAAGACCTAGGTATTACACATTAAGCAAGATTTATACTTGTTTGTCAGCTCTATGCAGTACGCCATGGCCTACGCACATGGCCTAAACCATTGTGAGCATTCACACTTCACACTTCACAGTTCGATGGTGTGTTTGTGTCACTCTGCAGTTACACCTCCAAAACAATAGTCTGTGCTGTAAAGTTCAGCTGTTTCAGAAAGCACCCAAAACACACATTAAACACACATGACTTAATAGAGACAATATCAAACAAAAACTTGCTTAACTATAACTCGCAGCATTCACAAACAAAGTACTTGTCTTTATCTGAACACATTTTCCCCACAAATACAACATGCTAATGTTTTTAGCACAAGCCTTCGGCATTTTACATTATATAAATTAGCCTAGCAGCTAGTGGACTTTTCCTCTACTCATATGAAGCGAGTGACAACAGCAACATTTAACAAAGGTAACGTTACAAAATTCGGCTCCATTACAACTCACAAGGTTCACTGACAAAACAACTGTCTTATACTAAACACATTTTCCAAACAAATATAACATGCTAACGTTATAAGCTCAAGCCTTTTATCCCTTCAGCTATTGGGTTACTAAACTTAGATGGTAATTAGTTTATCAAATGTCCTGACAGCATAGAAGGGATTAAGGACTTTCTTTCTTATATTTATATTTATATTTATATTCATACTTGTGTCTTTTTACTGACATTTAACTTGTATGCCCAATCAACGACTTGGTTGTCTGTTTCACTGGACTGTGCTTGGCATGGATTAGTGTGGTGATGTTGTTGTTGTTGTTGTTGTTGTTGTTGTTGTTGTTGTTGTTGTTGTTTGTACATTGTGGGATGGGGAAGCAACAAATGAATTGCCCCTTGTGGGATCAATAAAGTTGTTTCTATTCTATTCTTTGAATTAGCCTAGCGGCTCATGGACATTTCCTGTACTCATATGAATCCAGGATAAATTAAAGTAAATAAAAGCTTTGTTTCCACTGAGGGAAATGGTTTAGCTCCCAAAGATAGACACGAGGTCTGCGTCACTATGATGCATAGTTACATTTCTGGGGAGGTGCACGTCAGGCACGGCAGCCCAATTCAGTGCAGAAGTATAAATCCTGCTTTACTCGTCACTTTTACAAAAAGTTATTTTACTTAATTACTATGGTAGAAAGTAATTTGTTACACTACTTGTTACTTTTGCAGGATTCCCCAACACTGACTGCAGAGAGATGCATCATCAATATACTGCAAGTTAACAGTAATATAACATTAAATCTTACACTTCAAATGCCAACATGTCAGCACAAAGCAAGTTTTAGGAGAATCAAGACAGCACTGCAGTAGGCTATAACTGCCTCAGAATGAAACTACATCAATATGTAAAACAATATAAAAAGGCTGGCCTTCCTAACACTGCATAGTACAGATATTAATTGCATCAAAATAATAAGTCAGTAGGTCCACATAACATGACATAAGCCTGGCATTCCTAACACCATTAGTTGTCATGACCCATGAAGTTACAATATTTATTTTCAGTGTCAGGCAGAAAACAAGAAATAGTGATGGCCACATGAAGCCTCATGAGCCACTGTCTTTATTTTCTGACCCCACCAGATAAAGGTCTTGGTTTAAAGATAAAGGCTGAAGGACTGGCAATGAAGTGTGCTTTTAAACCTTTGTTGAACAGACAGCGCCATCTGGTGGCTTCAGAAAATAAATACAATGGTTCATAAGGCCTCATTTGGCCATCACCAAAACAAACTCCAATCAAGGTCAAGATCGTAATTCAACTTTATTATCTCCATGGTAACAATCAATTATATCATAAAAACATAAAACAACGAAAACATGGTGATAAAACTGACACAGTCCACACAAACAGAGACATAAGCAGACTAAACACCAGCAGTCTGTAAACACCTACAACCAAACAATATGTTGGAGGCAGTAGTATTGTCTTTTTTTTTTTTTTTTTTACTTTCCAAACAGGCAATTTTGCAGTTGCAATTGTACAGAACTGAATAAAGCAACAAATAAAGAATACTTATGGAATTCTCAGACTTTTATTCTATGATCAACGGCCCTCTGTTTCATCAGATTTTAAAATACAACAATAATAGATGTATTTATGTTGTGATCTCAGATTTTAAAATCCATATTCAAACAGGAATGAACAGATATATACAACATTTCTCACATCTGAGTGACCAAAGAGCCACTAAAAGTTGTATGGACGTCGGACCCATAAACATGTGTATTTGCGCGCATGAGCACGTACACCTGGTCTCCTGGCTGCAGCTGCAGGAACGCTGCGTTTCCACCATTATCAGCTGTGTCGTAGCCACACTGGTGATCGTCTGTCATGACCATCACTTGATTGTTCTTGTACAGTAACAGCATTCCCGGACGGTGTCCATTAGCATGATAGAAGATGGTAAAATAATAAACACCTGCAACAGGTGCAGTGAAGATACCTGTGGAAACAACAGTGGAATCAACACTTGTTCTTTGAATTTATGGATTCAATGACTTCTTAAGAGCTGTACACTTGCCGCGTTTTTGCGCCCTCAAATTCATTGTTTTCAATGTACATGCTTGACAGGTGTGCTCAAATGGCAGAGCAATGCTGTCATGAGCGATGAGGAAAAAATAATAATATATTTTCTAAAAAAAACAAAACAATTTTATCAGTGGTTAGGGTGGGTTCAAAGATTGAACTTTTTTATTCGTACAGTATAACACCTTTAAACAATCTGGCAATTCAAAGTTCTTTATTAAAGACAAAAAAAAGGAAGGACAAGATATGACAGAAACACAAGGCGATGTAAAGAAACATATGAAAAGAGTAAAATAAAGTATCACCAAATTCATACAAATCATTTTCCTGACCAGTGCTGAAAGTAAAAAGCTCATCTTTATTATTCAGCCATAAAAGCATAGCAATTAAAGTGCTCCTGTCCTCATCAACCTGAGTGTTTGCATTAATCTTTGTGTCTCTTTTTCTCTGTAGAAACATACAACCAGACAATATACAGGGACCAGCTATATCTTCTTTTAATTCATTTTTCCAAATAAATTCATTATTTAGAATAAATTCAGCATAAAGAACTAAATGAGGCAAAAAAAAACCCAAAACACTTTTAGACTCTTTATTTTATGATTGAGCAACAGCCTCCTGTGTCATCAGATCTCGGATGTATTTTTTTAGTGATCTCAGATCTTTACATCGATCTTCAAGCAGGAATGAACAGCGATACAGAGATATACATAGATACAGAGATATACATCAGTTTTCACATTTGAGTGACCAAGAATCCACTGAAGGTTGTGTGGTAGTTGGTTCCCCAAACATGTGAGTTTGCAGCCAAGACCACATACACCTGGTCTCCTGGCTGCAGCTGCAGGAATGCTGCGTTTCCTCCATTATCAGCTCTGTCAGCTTCTGTTTGGTGATCATGGGTCATAATCATGAGTTGGCTGTTCTTGTAGAGCCTCAACTTTGCCTGTTCATGTCCTCCAGCATGGTAAAAGATGGTAAAGTAATAGACACCTGCAACAGGGGCAACAAAGATACCTGTGGAGACAACAGGGTGGTGGTCACACTTTTTAAAATTTTACAAATGAGAAGTCACATCATGAATCATCAGTAGTCGTCAGCACTTTATTTTATTGCCTTTCAACAATATAACCCAAAGATGAGTCTGTAATTTTTGTCCTCCTCAAATTGATTGTTTCAGTGTGTTCTTAAACATCTAGATCACATGACAGGAAGGCAGTATGTCTATTTTTCTTGATGTTTCAGCATAGCAGGTGGTACTTGATGCAGGTGACTGAGTATTACCTGTGTGTGGACTGTAGGCATAACCGATGTTTGTTATCACTCTTCTGTAGATTAAAGTTTTGTCTGTGTTGAACGGTCCAATGTCTTGACCTCCTTCTCCTGTTGCTGCACTGAATATCACCTTGGTTCTTTCTGTGTAAAACAAAACATGCTGATCACATTATTTTGTAAAGTATTTCCAGAATCTCATGAAGAGACTTTTAGCGACCATGTGAATGAAACTTGTCTGTGAGGAGACATGTTCTCTCCTGCTACTTCCATCTTTTGCTGTTTAGTTGGTAGGACTTATTTTGTTCCTACTCAAGTTATTGTGTGCCATCCATCATTAAACACAGTTTCACTTTACCTTTGTTCCTCACTTCTAGAAGCTGGTTTTCACTGTTCCTCAGCCTGCTTTCACTGTCCTTCAGCCTGGTTCCACTGCTATTCAGCCTGCTTTCACTGTCCTTCAGCCTGGTTTCACTGTTCTTCAGCCTGGTTTCACTGTTCTTCAGCCTGGTTTCGCTGTCCTTCAGCCTGGTTTCACTGTTCTTCAGCCTGGTTTCACTGTTCTTCAGCCTGGTTTCGCTGTCCTTCAGCCTGGTTTCACTGCTATTCAGCCTGCTTTCACTGTCCTTCAGCCTGGTTTCGCTGTCCTTCAGCCTGGTTTCGCTGTTTCTCAGCCTGGTTTCGCTGTCCTCCAGCCTGGTTTCCATAACTGCAATCTTTTCTTTCATGGCACCGAATGCCATCAGGAGATCACACATGTCAGGTTGACATGTTCGTGTTTCATCAGGTTTTTCTGTGATGGCGTTACCATCATCCTGGGCCAAAATCAAGCTGCTGGACAGTAAAACAAACAATAAAACGGCACAATTCATCTTCCAAGTTGATTCAAGATCGTTCAGTCAGCTAAACTCTGACTGATGTGATCCCTCTGGCTGCTTTTATGGTCTTCAAAGATGACCTGTTAATTTTTAACCTCCCATTTGATACATGGCTTTATCATGTTACTTTTAAGATCAGTGGACAAGCAATGAGATAATAACACTGATTAACAAACTAATTTCATGAACAGTGAGGGTGGGGATCAGTGATTGAACACTTATTTGTGGCATTCCCTCTATCAAATGAAGCCACTAATGAGCTGTACGCACAGTAACATCAGTCTGATGTGAATGAAAGGAGACATAATCCAGTTTAAATGTTTAGGAAAAAGTTTAAATTACACTGAGTCACACGCTCAATTATACTGCATGTCAATCAGTGAATTAAAGGGAGAATCATTATCAACATACAATATACATGCACATTTGTCTTTGTACATTTTCACACATTACCTATGTTTTATACAGTGTATGGAAATGAATTTTGCATGGTATTTAAATTACCTTCTGTTAACACTGTGTGACTCTACAACACCTTTAAACAACCTGGCTATTCAAAGTGCTTTATTAAGACAGAAAAGAAAGAGGGACTCGATATAAAGGAAATATAGAAGAATGTAAAGAAGCACACATGAAAAGAGTTAAAAATTAAGTATCACTCTAATCATTCAAATCGATCCCCTGGCCACTTTCTTAAGCAAGATATTTGAGCTGTCTTGATAACACAAAGCAATGATCGGTTCTGAATATTTTCACAAAATAAAACAAGATCCGACTCTGTTAGTCTGTGTCTGTTTTCCTGATGTGCCAATGTCAACAGACTTGTTTTGACATTCTCCAACAAGGAAACAGGAGTAAAAATCAGTGAACCTTTGCCTCATTTTATGGCTTGTTTATTGTTATTGTTCGTTCATAATACCCTGGAACTGCATTTACTATCAGTAATAAGTTAATATCATGATAGCTGACACCAGTAATACATCAATTTACTGTAGATATTGCTCACATCAGCTTTTTCTTTTGAAAAGTGCAGCTATCAGTGTTGAAATTATGTTTATCTTTATTATTCAACCATAAAAGTATAAGAATAAAGACCTTCCGTCCTTATCAACCCTTTCTTTGTGATATATCCAGTGTGGATGGTGTTCCTCTGAAATAAGTAGGCCTGTTGTATTACACCAGATGTCTTCAACATATTTGACACCAAAGACCTCTTAGCTGCAAAACAGATGGAGCAGGGACTTCCCTACTGAATATATATTGTATAAGTTTGAGTTTTATATAAAACTGGGACTGTAATAATGTGTAGGGTGGCCGAAAGTGCCATGAATAAGCACTTATGGCCATTATGTTTCACTAACATTTCACCCTCAACTAACTGGTTTGCCTTGTTAAATTATGGACGGGTGCAGCTTAGCATTAACTAAGCAGCCATTTAGCAGATGATTCAGGTGTACTGTAAATTTTTTTTTTTTTGTTTTGTTTTGTTTTGTTTTTTGATTAAGCCATAAATTACAATATAATATAATTTTAACAATTATAATTATAATTATAATAACAATATAATTTGATTAAGCACCCCTAAATTGAATCCCAGCACCCCTAAAAAAAAGAGTCCTTAATCCCTTCTATGCTGTCAGGACATCTGATAAACTAATTACCATCTAAGTTTAGTAACTCAATAGCTGAAGGGATAAAAGGCTTGTGCTAATAACATTAGCATGTTATATTTGTTTGGAAAATGTGTTTAGTGTAAGACAGTTGTTTTGTCAGTGAACCTTGTGAGCTGCATAGGCGTTTATAGCCCATTTTTGGGGGTGCTGAAGCGCCCCTACATTGAATCCCAGCACCCCTAAAATTTGAGAGATTTTTTGTATTTTTAATTTTTTTTTGCTGTATGTCCCTTTTTAACAAGCTAGAAAAGTGTCAAAACCATACAGTACTTGGTTGCAACGTAATATATTAACAACAAAAATACAGATTTCTTAACTTCTACCACTCAGTACCAACACATTATTATCATTACCGGTCCTCATTTTTGCTGCATTTAATTGTAGGTCATTGTTTATGTTGTCAGGTAGGAGTTAGCTGACGTTTTTTCTAGCTAGGAAACGTTACAGGTGGTCAGTACCACTGTCTTCTGTTTGAATTGGAATGAGAGAAGCTAGCTGTTGTCATGTGCATGTGTTAATATTAAAGCCAAGGTGCTACTGACCAGCTAACTGACTGGATGCCCATTAACATTATAACTCCTATTGTGTGTATTTATCATTATTATTTTGTAATAATAATAATAAATACAAATTAGGCCTTTAAGGGTTGCACACCCGCTGTTGAAACTACATCAATAAGTAAAACAATATAAAAAGGCTGGCCTTCCTAACACTGCATAGTACAGATATTAATTGCATCAAAATAATAAGTCAATAGGTCCACATGACTTGCTTTCAAACCTTTGTTGAACAGACAGCGCCATCTGGTGGCTTCAGAAAATGAAGACAGTGGTTCATGAGGCCTCATTTGGCCATTACTAACAACAAACTCCAATCAAGGTCAAGATCGTAATTCAACTTTATTATCTCCATGGTAACAATCAATTATATCATTAAAAACATAAAACAACGAAAACATGGTGATAAAACTGACACAGTCCACACAAACAGAGACATAAGCAGACTAAACACCAGCAGTCTGAACACCTACAACCAAACAATATGTTGGAGGCAGTAGTACTGTCTTTTTTTTTACTTTCCAAACAGGCAATTTTGCAGTTGCAATTGTACAGAACTGAATGAAGCAACAAATAAAGAAGACTTATGGAATTCTCAGACTTTTATTCTATGATCAACGGTCCTCTGTTTCATCAGATTTTAAAATACAACAATAATAGATGTATTTATGTTGTGATCTCAGATTTTAAAATCCATATTCAAACAGGAATGAACAGATATATACAACATTTCTCACATCTGAGTGACCAAAGAGCCACTAAAAGTTGTATGGACGTCGGACCCATAAACATGTGTATTTGCGCGCATGAGCACGTACACCTGGTCTCCTGGCTGCAGCTGCAGGAACGCTGCGTTTCCACCATTATCAGCTGTGTCGTAGCCACACTGGTGATCGTCTGTCATGACCATCACTTGATTGTTCTTGTACAGTAACAGCATTCCCGGACGGTGTCCATTAGCATGATAGAAGATGGTAAAATAATAAACACCTGCAACAGGTGCAGTGAAGATACCTGTGGAAACAACAGTGGAATCAACACTTGTTCTTGTTCTGAATTTATGGATTCAATGACTTCTTCCCTTCTTCCATAAATATCAGTCTGTGGTCAATATGGAAAAGTTGGTCATTTTAGTGCAGAGCTGCCAGAGCTTTACATCTGTCCCACGGACGATAGGCCTACACACTTATAAACAGCACCTGGAAGAAGATCAGCTCTGCACTCAGGATTTCAGGTAAATTGGCTATGATACAGTGCTGGTTAAGGTTTCTTAGCGACCTCAGACACAGCCTGCCACTGCGCTCTTGAAAGCTGGCACAAAAAAGGCACAAAAGTAGTGCCCAGTGCCTGTGCATTTTCCAGGTGGTTCACATAGCAGCATGTGACTGGCCCCTTAGGGTGCTTTCACACATGCCTGGTTTGGTTTGGCTCAATTGAACTCAAGTTCATTTGCCTTGCCTAAGTGCGGTTTGTTTGGGCAGGTGTGAACACAGCAATCGCACCAAAACAACCAGACCGAGACCTTCTTGAAGAGGTGGTCTCAATCTGGTTAAAAAGGACGGCTGTGGCTCAGAGGTAGAGCAGGTCGTCCACCAATCAAAAGATCAGCAGTTCCATCCCCGGCTCCAGTCTGCATGTTGAAGTATCCTTGAGCAAGATACTGAACCCTAAAAAGCATTGGTGTGTGAGTGTGTTAAAAACTGAGTAGTAGGTTGTATGGTAGCCTCGGCCACCAGTACATGAATGGGTGAATATGACTCATGCTGTAAAAAGCGCTTTGAGTGGTCGGATGACTAGAGAGGCACTATGCAAGTACAGGTCCATTTACCATTACAAACAAACTCTGGTGTGGTTCATTTGAGGTGAGAACATGTTCCGACCTGGATCTGAACCAACTGCAGTCACATGACACATTGTTTGGGTTAAACATGAGCATGTTACAGTCCTGGAGGATTATTAATGTGCACCTCCTCCTGTACTGCCTTAATATGCACATTTCAGCACATCCAATGCATCAAAACATTGTTTTCTAGTTGGAGCCGCACCTCGTTTTCAAACTGTATGGTTTGACTAAAATGAACAATGACAGCAATATAGTCCACGATGAGCAGCGCTAAAACCAACCTGCGTAGTTGTCCCTCCATTGTGACATTAGAAAGTGCCACATTTATCTTGCAAGTGTACTCTTCTTCAACGTTTTGTTTACTTCCTGGATTTTTCCCCACACGGAAATTCGGACCAATCAAGAGCAGCTTTCTCACACAAGGCATTTGATCTGGTCCGCTTGTAAATGCTGCTGTGAGAACACGAACCAACTCTTGGCAATTATGCAGCTTTGTAAAAAAAAAAATTGGCCCTGATTCAGACCAAAGCAAGACAACTCTAGGTCTGACAGCACCCTTCGACATCTGGATTTGTATACAGGGAGAGTGCAGGTGACTGAGTATTACCTGTGTATGGACTGTAGGCATTACCAATGTTTGTTATCACTGTTCTGTAGATTAAAGTTGTGTCTGTGTTGAAGGGTCCAATGATTCTGTCTCCTCCTCCTGTTGCTGCACTGAATATCACCTTGGTTCTTTCTGTGTAAAAACAAAGTATCCTGATCACACAAGTATTTCCAGAGTCCCTCAGTGAGAAATGACACATCAGTTGTTTTCATGTAATTCTGACCAGCACCCATGTGAATTATGACTTTTCTGTAAAGACACACATTCTATCACATGACTTCCATCTTTTGTTGTTTAGTTTGAATGAATGAATGAATGAATGAATGAATTCTTAAATAAAATCTTTAAATAAAATCTTTCACTTTACCTTTGTTTTTCAGTTCCCGAATTTGGTTTTCGCTGTCCTTCAACCTGGTTTCGCTGTCTTTCAGCCTGGTTTCGCTGTCCCTCAGCCTAGCTTCTACAGCTCTGAGTTTTTCTGTCATAGCACCAAACTCTATCAAGAGATCACACATGTCAGGATGACATGATGCTGCTTTACCAGGTTTTTCTATTTCAGTAGTTTTAACATCATCCTGGGCCAATGTCAAGCCACAAAACAACAAAACAAACCACAAAATGGTGGAATTCATCGTCCAAGTTGATTCAGCAGCTTTCATTCACTTACACTCTGAGTAATGCTTTCCCTTGGGCTGCTTTTATGTTGTTTTATGATGACCTGTTAATTTTTAACCTCCCATTTGACACGTGGCTTTATTATCTTGTTGTCAAGCTCAGTGCTGCGCAGGGTGTGGAGCTGAGATGTATGCAGATGATAATGTAAATTATGCAGCTTGTAAACTCGGTTCAACAAAGATAAATGTAACTAATAGGTTGATGATCTACATCAATTTCTTAATGTTAAGAAGATTTTTTTGCCTTAATTCTCTTCCACATACCCCTTTTCCACCAAAATTAGCACGTGTACGCTATGTCTGGCCTGCTCGAAGCTAACACAAAATTCCTTCTTCATAGCAGCCTTTCTGAGGAGTAGACAAGTTTAGCGCCAGCAGCTACAACACAAAGGCTGGCAGCTAACTTAGGCGGGATTTATACTTCTGCATTGAATGACGCAGTAGCTACGTCATAGGCTCTGCGTCAACATAGAGCCTTAGCTGTAGCCCGACATGCTCCTCTTACAGAAATGTAACTACACTTTGCGGCGACGCAGACCTCCTCTCTATTTTTGTAAGCTGAAATCATTTCCCTCAGTGGAAACAGAGCTTTATTTATTTAATTTCACAGATAAGAAACAATAAATTGTGAAGACAATAAAGCCTCCACAAAAATAGCATTTTAAGTCTTGTGTGTGATTTATCCTGGCTTCATATGAGCAGAGGAAATCTCTGTTTTTTTCTAGGCTAATTTATACAATGTAAAATGCCATAGGCTTGTTCTAATAACGTTAGCATGTTGTATTTGTTTGGAAAACATGTTTAGTATAAGACAGTAGTTTTGTCAGTGAACCTTGTGAGCTGCAATGGAGCCAAATTTTGTAACGTTACCTTTGTTAAATGTTGCTGTTGTCCCTGGCTTCATATGAGTAGAAGAAAAGTCTGCTAGCTGCTAGGCTAATTTATACAATGTAAAATGCCATAGGCTTGTGCTAAAAACATTAGCATGTTGTATTTGTGGGGAAAATGTGTTCAGATAAAGACAAGTGTTTGTCTCTGAATGCTGTGAGTTATAGTGAAGCTGATTTGTGTACTTGTATTTGAAATTGTCCCTATTAAGTCATGTTTAATGTGTGTTTAATGTGTGTTTTGAAGCCAACGTGGAAGTGATTTAAAAAGAATAATGCAGTCCATTGAATAAAGTTGAATAATGCCAGGAAAGCGTGACTTTGATTCGCAGGTATGAAATGATAGAAAATGAATCAAGAAACTGTCACAGCTTGAGTGTCTTAAGTTGTGTTTTTATTTAATTTATTCATGTTGTTTCATATTTTACTTTACTTTGACTAACATCTCCTCATTTCAGATCACTTCACTTCCTGCCCCTGTGTGTTTTCCCTCCCTTTCTCGTTTGAATTCAAATGAATCCAAATTATAAAGCACTACTATATTTTCACTTACTGGTTCAAAAAGGAGCCTTTTAACTCAACATTTCCTCTGTATGTGCTACTTATTTTACATTGGGACATAAATAGTGCAGAGATGACCCAAATAATCATTGCAAGCAGCTGCATTTATTAAACAATTGCACAAAATACACACATTTAATTTACATTAATACACTTCTCATTCTAACTAATCAATAATTGCTTGTTTGATTTCTGCACGTGGCTACTTATCAGGTCAGCAAGTTTGGCGTTACAAAGGTTGCTGTTTTATTGTGCAGTGACTCAAATGCAGATTTCATTGCATTTTTGTCTGGATTGTCGAGATTTTAACAATCATTGTATTAATTCGTTATGTCTATATGGGCTTTGTTTACACATTAAAATTTATTTAAATGTCCTCAAGCTTTGGTTAAATTTCAACAGACAATGAGATGAGTGTAGTGATATCAGATTAAAGTCAATTTTCACCATCACAATTATAAAATAAAGCAGTAAACTTAACAGCGAGGACTCATTGTCATTCATTTCTTTGAATTTACAACAGGAGAAACATAATTCTTGCTGAAGTCACTTTGAAGTCTAGTGGTAATAAATCCATCAGATTACTGGCAGGCACATAAACAGAAGACAGGCTACAGATATGATCCATGTCATGCAGGATAAGCAAGCATAAAAAAGGTTGTGTGCTATCAGCCTGGCGTCCTGTCCAGGTATACCACCACTCTCCCTCAATGTCAGCTGGGATCAGCTCCAGTAACCTTGTGACACTCCAAAGGATGAGAGAGTATCAATAATAGAGGACTTTAAATCACCTTTGTGTATGAAATGTGCAATAAAAATAAACTTGCCTTCATAAAAACAGAAGTGAAGTAGATTTCCTGCACTGCTTCCCTTTACTGGCTTGGCACAGCAGATGGTGCTGTTTACCACCTGGGAAGTGACTCCAAAGAGAAATGGGGTCACCAGACTATCACAGGGCTGACACATAGAGACAGACAACCATTCACACTCACATTCACACCTACGGACAATTTAGAGTCACCAGTTAACTTGCATGTCTTAGGACTGTGGGAGGAAGCTGGAGTACCCAGAAAAAACCCACGCTGACATGGGGAGAACATGCAAACTCTGCACAGAGGGGCTCCCCCGCCCTGGGTTCGTTCCATTTCTATACCATGGTTGTACATTACATCTCAAATCTTTGTTTATCCAGCTAACAAGTTTTTAAATTTTATATTATGTGAATGCAAATTAATTTTACTTAACATTTAATTAGTTTAATAAGGGGGAGCAAACCTCTGCACCATTTTGCATTCTCATTTTTTAGCTGAAAAGGTCCAGTGTGTAAGATTTGGGGGGATCTAGTGGCATCTAGCTGTGAGGATTGCAGATTGCTAGAATTCCCCCAGTGTTCATTTTCCTCATTTCCCTGTCTCTTCCTCTCCAAAACAAAAAGTCCAGGTGATTTAAACCAGAAAAAAAATGAATAAAGCAGTTTTGTGTAACAAATCAGTGATTTTCAAAGCTGCTGGACGCAGATTTGCTTCGAAAGCAGCATTAATACTTGTGCCTACGAGCCTACTCACATGGCCTACCCCATTGTGAGCATTTATACTTGTGAGGTGGTGTGTCTGTGTCACTCTGCAGTTACACCTCCAAAGCACTAGTCGGCAGCGGAGGTTTCTGTGAAGTGCTGTAAAGTTTAGCTGATTCAAAATACACATTAAACACACATTAAACATGGCTTAATAGAGACAATTTCAAACACAAGTACACAAATCAGCTTCACTATAACTCGCAGCATTCACAGACAAAGCACTTGTCTTTATCTGGACACATTTTCCCCACAAATACAACATGCTAATGTTTTTAGGACAAGCTCATGGCATTTTACATTGTATTAATTAGCCTAGCAGCTAGCGGACTTTTCCTCTACTCATATGAAGCCAGGGACAACAGCCACATTTAACAAAGGTAATGTTACGAAATTCAGCTCCATTACAGCTCACAGGGTTCACTGACAAAACAACTGTCTTATACTAAACATGTTTTCCAAACAAATATAGCATGCCATCGTTATTAGCACAAGCCTATGGCATTTTACATTGTATAAATTAGCCTAGTGACAAGCTGAGATTTTCTCTACCCATATGAAGTCAGGATAAATCACACACGACTTAAAATGCTATTTTTGTGGAGGCTTTATTGTCTTCACAATTTATTGTTTCTTATCTGTGAAATTAAAGTAAATAAAAGCTTTGTTTCCACTGAGGGAAATGGTTTCAGCTTACAAACACAGACAGGAGGTCTGCGTCACCGCAACTTGTAGTTACATTTTTGGAGTGGTGCATGTCAGGCTACGGCGTAGACTCTACGTTGACGCAAGGCCCACATTGTAAGTACGGCATTGATTTGATGCAGACTGCATGTGACTGCGGTGACAGATGCAAAAATGTGACTTGCTCTATCTGGAGTCAGTGTCTGCCTTGTCCATTCTGGCTTCTGTAGAAACCTGATGGTGGATATGGCCATTTCTATAAACCAGTACTTGCTGCCTGTGTAGATATAAACTGTTCATTGTAAAGTAACAAACACAACAGTTCTTCTTGTCAGGTGAATATACACTTAAGAGAAAATACGTATTATATTTCATTCCATTTGTGCTAGTATATCCCCCTAAATCCTACACACTGAACCTTTAATAGAAAGAAAACACAGAAAATATTCATAACAGACAACTGCGAAGAATAGAAAATTGATCTTTTGTATTTGTTTTGTTTTTCTTAAAGAAAAATGTGCACTGCATTCTCGTGTCCTGCATCTCAGAACCCTTCTTTAATAAACATACTTGACACATAATGGTAAGTGAATCATATCTTTATTGACAGTTTCTCAATCCTGATTGACCAAAAAACCGCTGAAGGTGGTGACGAGATCGTTTCCCCAAACATGCGTGTTTGCGTCTAAACGCACGTACACCTGGTCCCCTTGCTGCAGCTGCAGGAACACTGCGTTGCCTCCGTTATCAGCAGTATCGCCCGATGAGCGGTGGTCATAGGTCTGCACGACAGGGCTGTTGTTCTTTATGAGGTTTAGGCTCACTATGTGTGATCCTCCAGCATGATGATAGAAGGTGAAGTAATAAACGCCTTTAACAGGTGCAGCGAAGATCCCTGTGGAAACATTTTATTCCAACAGTTAACAGCTTTGTAAAAGTCCTTGGACTCTTTTTGAAGAGGTCAGTAACATTTTAAGTGCTCTCAATTTATTGCAACGTGCTATGGAAATTAAAGTTATTTAATACATATACTTAAGGCCCTGAAGCTCTTTCTATCATACCATTAATACGACACGTCAGAAATAAAAATTCCTAACGAAGAATTTTAGATAATTTCATGTCAAAACAAGAATTGCTCACAATAATAATGCTAGCATGTTAATGTTTAGCAGGTATAATTTTCAGTATATTCACCATGTTGGTTTAATGCTAACTATTATCAATCAATCAATCAATCAATCACATAGTAGAGTTGAGGCTGTTTATGAATGTCATTAGTTCTGC